GCTGTCGAATATTTAAAAGTAAACATCGTATGGCAAATCTTGAAAGTAATAGATACGGAAGCTTTCTTGGTCTTAGTTGAAATGATCTCGGGAGAGAGGGACCAATTCAGAGTTCTACTACACAATACACCAAGATACTGGCGACATAGGAAGCAACACCTTCAAGCGTGCTTGATATGTATGTCCACTTTTTCTGATTTCAGACAGTTTTGATGCTTTTTTTTTGTAAATCATAATTTTAGTTTAACAAGGTTAACATAGAATACTAGACAATTGCAATAATTTCCTGGGTGAAAGTTCAAGTTATCAGAAATATGTACCCCCATTTTTAATTAAAAAATATGGTTATTTATGTTTTAATTGCGAAAACAGTTTCTGTTATCTGAGCTTCGGCCATTATGCCTGGAACTCTAATGACCTTTCCTCTCGTGACTTCATATGTGACTAGAGGCCGCCATATTGCCACAGTAATACGAGCGCTGCGGTAAAAGAAATAGTGTTTTTTCTGTCGTTTTTTGCTACGATGGTGTATTGCGTTGTCTGCGGATGCACGACATCATCGAACAATGGAAAGAGACACAATTTCTTTCCGTTTTCCAAGTGAAAGACAGATTTAGGCAGCAGAAATGTTCCGATCATTTCGAGGCGGTTGGGGTACGTAAGTCCCGAAACATTCAAAGGGGAATTTAAATATTACCAGCTGTTTTAAATGTAGTATTCTTGTCATTTTAATTTTGGCTAAATTTGATTTCAATCGCCAGCGGCTGAAGGGGTGATATAAATCCATCTAGGGTCCATGCAGGTAGCAACAGTACTGTAAGTCCCAGGTCCCTAGTGTGGTGATCTACCTTCAGTTGATGGCGATCTATAGCCAGTTTTTATATTGTATTGTCCAAATAGTCCTATTAGTTTTAATTTTCCACACTAGTTTTAGTTGTAAGTGTGATATTCTAGTTGTTTTACTGTCCTTCGTCGACAGCTTTTTATAATATACATCTATTCCATTTCAATGTGACATATGTTCTCGTCACGATATGGCTGAAATATTGCCGATGTGACGTTAAATAATAACTCAATCAATCGAGGCGGTTGTATATAATAGAGACATGTACACATGGGGTATCAAAATCCAAAAGCTGGGCTGAAGAAATAAGCAGGACCCATGAACTTCTCTTATACTACATCATTCCATGTTACAACTTACTGTTATAGACTATTAGTACGGCACTGGTATTTTTTTTTACATAGATTAAATCAAGTCCGATTGTGATGAAATATATATAATCAAAATCAGTAAGAGATTTCACGTGAGCTTGAAAATGTTTCTCCATGACGTTTGTTCCGGTTTAGAGCCCTGAATACTACTGTCTATCCGAAAAATTGCCGACTACAACTTGTTACATTCATTGTTTCCATTTTGTCGAATTACGAGCGTCTAAATAGTGTTTGCCGTGAAAGTTGTTCCGTATTCACATTGGATGACAAGATGTCATTCTAAGGTTATGACCGAGCACCATAGGAAATATACATTGTCCTGCCTAGTATTTTATAATTCACCAGTTTTCGGGGAATAACTTATCTGTGTCTTGTATGGAGACTTGATATGTTATTAATAAGAAATAGGATCGTAATGTTTTGCAACAAAATAATTCCTTGCAACAGTGTGATTTCTATTTTCCCCCGTCTGACGCATAAGCATTTTTGAAAAATCCCAGACTCCTTGCAGTCACCCATTTGACACAAAAGGAACTGCACATTTCAAAGAGAATATTTTATCAGGAACTGCTCATTTATTTATAGGGGTGGGTGTGCTGGTTTGGACTGTATAACAGTTTGCTGATAAAAAATAATCCTCGGTTTCACTTGATGCTTCTTCTTCATCTTCACTGGAAGTTTGTCTTGCAAGATGTAACACCGGATCGTATTGATACGGTCAAACATCCATTTGAGGAATGACACCAGGAACATATTTTATTGCTTCAGAATCCATGGACACTGTTACGTTATGATGTAAAATGGCAATTGGCACATATGACACCATGACACGTGAGGGGTCCAGACAATTCCCCACTCAGGCATTTCCCCACAGGACAATTCCTACACAATAAAAAGTATAATTAACAACAAAAATGATATTGACTTTTTTATAATATATTTATTCATTCTTTGACATTCCTCAACAATAATCAGTATCAGTATGTCCAGTTTAATATGAGACACTTTTATTATATATTTCACATTCTTTAATAAATACACAGAGGTACAGTATCCGACACACAGGTTATAACAATGATTACATTTGCACAAAGTCATTCTTTCATTCAGCCAAGACGAATGTTCTTTGAAATTGATATCAGGAACTGATCCAGGGATTTCTGTCCAGCACTATATGCAACAGAAATGTTCGTGAAGCGTTGTTGGTGATCGTTGGTTGCTTTCTTGACAGGCTTGGAGGGAGGTTGACCATTGTCATCGTTTTCTTTGTACAGTGACGATAGTCCCAAATTCTGGATTTTGCGCCATGTGCCTTGTGTCAGGTGGTAGTAGCATCCCAGCCTTACGTGATCACCAAAAAAACAGAAGTTAAAGCGCTTAGGATACTTGATCAAAGTCAGAAATTATCACTGATGTGTCAACGTCAAGTCCAAATTCTTGGCACTTGTTGGTGATAGCTTTGAAAAGTTCTTCATACAAGGCTTGGGACTTGCCAGTAAGAAATCCATATGCACAGGTGATAGCAGTGTTGCCCAAGGGAGCTCGAATAATGAACAGCTGCTGAAACGGAGATGGGGCAGAATCGAAAGTTCCATCCATGAACCAGCGAGGTGCAGCAAGGCTCTTGAAGTGGCATAGGCAGCAACTCGATTCCTTGATTCGGAACCACTGTCGTGGATGAGGAAAGGCTCTGGCTCTGATCCCCCCTGTTGTAGTCCAGTGTCCTTCAGGCTTGAATTCTTACAGACTTGCTGGAGTCTTTGGGAGAGACCCCTGTTGGCGGCGCCTAATGGTTCGTTTCAGACTGTCATCCTTACAGAGAGTTGCACGAACGGGAACTGGAAGTGGCTGGAGGGCATGTGCTAGGACCTGGCCTGGCTTGCTGCGGATAGATGCAACCTCAGGGCTGAGATGGTCTTAGTAGCTTGTAGGGCTGCGCAATATAACCGGTTTATCGGTATATACCGGTTCAGAGATGAAAACGATACGTATTGCGATACGCTGACTGAAAACCGGTATTTTGACATGCATTCGAAAAGACTTTGTAACACTCGGAAATCTTCGGATATTTCCGTTTTATAAATTGTTCCTTTCCTTTTTTTATTTGTGCCAAATATTATTTACATTTTTATTTTGTCATGATTAAATGTTTTTATTAAAGCTTAATCAAGCATGGTGATTGTGTTGTGTTTTTGCTTTATAAATCAAGCATTAACTCGATTATAAGTAGTTTTTTGTTAAAAAAAGAACTTCTTGCAATATATGGCAATACATATCGCAATATATGCTTTCGCATCGCAATATATTGCAATATGAAAATTCTCTGCAATACCAAGCCCTAGTAACTTGTACTTTATGGGCATCTGTGTCATGGCTGTGAGCTACTGATCAGCTAACTACTGTATGTTCTACATCAGTAGTCAGGGCACCTTTGCAAGATAAAGACAATCTGTTTGAACACTCCCACCTTACTGTGTTTCTTCTAGTGTAGCGTTTAGTGTACATCTAACCTTCATAACAAAGTTTCAACCCGCCACGGTTGTTCTTAATGAATTCCATCTTGAAATCTATAATGTCACATTTTACACTTGTACCTATATACTGCCAGCATGAAACCCCCTCTGCTCATTGATTATCGGGTGTTTTCGTAATAGGCGAAACTACGAGTACGTTTTTTGTGTGTTTATTGCGATTTAACAAACTTTTTGTCCAATTATAATCACGGAAGGTGACTTTAAGAATGCCTTTTCCTCTATAAAAAGTTCTGTAGTTCGTTAGTATTCTCATTTAAAGACCATGTATTGCAGTAGGTTTTTAAAGCATTACCTTGAATTTGTGGACCAATCTAAAAAACACCACATCATCATCAAAATACATATTTTAATCAGATCTGGATATTATAACTGGACACCAGTGATACATGAACGCTTAATCGCAGACACTAGTTCGTTGATAAAAAATATTGTTGACAGCTAATTATCTCGTAATAATAAGTGCAAACCACTTTTAACATTCTTTTACAGGTTGTTGTATAGGAGATGTATTTCCCGCATTTTTTTGCAGATGTGTGACTCTTGTTGAGTCCATGTGGAAGGGCTGATGGGGGAGCCCGGTGTTTAAGGAGTTTGCTCGTCACTAACTGACCCGAGTTCGAGTCCCAACATGGTTACAATGTGTGAAGCGCATGTCCGGTGTCCTCCGCCGTAATTTTTTTTAGAATATTGTTAAAAAGCGGCGTAAAACCATACTCACTCACTCCGATGGGGAAAAGAAGCGACATCCATGTTACGTTGACCCATTGACCTCTATTCCCTTTTGTTGGCTATTCCAGCTACATGACGGTGGTGTGTAAATAATCGCATCTGGACCAGACAATCCAGTGATTAACACCATGAACATTGATCTATGCAGTTTGAATTAGATAAGATGATATGTGTCAACCAAGTCAGGGATCCTAATCACCTGATCATGTTTGTCGCCTCTTGGGTTGCTGTAGCCGAGGCGTAAATTGTTTTCGTCACGATATGGCTGCAATATTGCCGATGTGACGTTAAATATGAACTCACTCACTCACTCACTGTAGCCGAGAGCCGCGATGCAGGCCTATGCAGGGTCATGTCTTGACTGCATGGCGGCTCTCGGCTAGGGTTGCTTAAGATCTGTTCTTACCCGGACCTGGAAGCCCAGTGTTACCTGTTTCGTCCAATAGACTCGTTATTCAGTGATGTTGACGTTTTGTATTTATCATTTGATTTCTCTCACAAATATTGTCCATTTATATTCAGCTGAATGCAGCCAGGTACGCTTGGAGAATGCCGTGTCGCTGTCAGTCGTAAACCAGACGGTGGACGTTGCCTGTCGGAGTGGGTTCACCTACCTGCTGTCTCCTCCATTACCCTGTCCTCTTGGCACTGGAGTCCTTGACATAGGAAAGTGTGCTCAGACACTTTGGACTGATCAGGTACATAGAGGAGTGAGTGATCGATCGAGTGAGTGAGTGAGTGAGTGAGTGAAGATGTATAGTCACATCGCCAATATTTCAGCCATATCGTGACTAATACGAGTCATATATTGATAATAAATTTGGTTCTATTTTAAAATCTTTTAGCAAAGAACAGTGACTAGAATATCACAACGAGAGGATGTTACTAGTATGTAACTTAATGAGCAGTTTGAACAAACACATGATAGTGAGATATTCGGTGAGTAAAATAGGTTATTATTGACACAGACTGGTTTAAGCCAGTCTTTAACTCATAAATATTCAGAATCTGTAGCATCTTAGATGTCAGTAAAGTTTTGAATTCTGTTATACCATGATTTACGAAATTTGCTCGACCACTGGTAGATTTTACATGCGATTCTGTCGGAGTCCATACGGGATAGTTTACGCCTGAGTTTAACTGATTGAATCTTATGCAACTCCATGTTCTCCATACATCTCCATGTATGGATAACAGCAATAATATATTAGGTGCCATGTCAAACCAGAAAATGAAAATACAGAGAACTTAACGATAGACTACAGAGAGAAAAAGACCACCGTCAAGCAGGAAGGAAGACCATGATAGAGTATGGAGATGCTGTTTCTCATCGTGTTGGACTTTGAAGTGGGCAGAGTGGGGTGGACTCCAAAGTGTAGGTTGCTGAAGAACAATTCTAACACGGATGTTCACGGGTCAGCATATTGGCGTGACGGTAAACAAACAAACAAACAAACAAACAAACAAACAAACAAACAAACAAACAAACGAAAAATACTGATGAGACATAATATCTTACAACGGTATGTTTTTCTTGATGACAGGTGTTTCCATTTGTTACTGATCTTCCTGCACCGTTATCCACTGGGGCGGAGATAAGAGTGAGAGGTTCTGGCGATGGAATGGGCAAGTAAGTTCGCGAAAGTTAACTGCATATTGTCAGATCTGTATCGATGCTGTGGACTTTCATTCTGGATCATAGCGAGTCATGAGGTTTCATTTTTCAATAGATACAAAAGCGAGACGGACATTGTTACATTACATATTTAGGACTAATAGCGAAACGAAGTATCAATATATTACAAGCTATATTCATGAACAACGGTTTCAGTCATCAAATGATAAGTTACAATAGAGAATGGTACAGTGAAAAGATATTGAACCATTCACAGATGATAACTGCAGATCTTTTACACAACCTGTACATCCTACACATGGTATTGTTCATGAGGCCTCAGATTAATTCACAAAATTTACAGGAAATTATTTGTAAAAAAAATTATTCATGTTTTTTATTGTTTCTCCTTTGTGAAACCAAGTATCGTTATGGGGTTTAGTGAAGCGAAGCTTGTGAACCAACCCTCTAAGAAACAATTTTCTACGCACAAAAGGTATGAACTAGTGGACCTGGCCTAATATTACGAACATGACATCAAATCTAGTATGTGTAGTAGGGACGGCGGGTTATCCCTGAGGTTAAAGCATTCTCTCTTGGCGACAAAATCCACATAGTGACATGAAACAACCACGTCAACGAGTCTGACCACCCGATCCCTATTACAAGCATGGTGGCTGATGTCCAATTCTAAACCGGAATTCCACGGATCTTTACTTTTACAGTACAGACATTCGCTTACCAGGGACTGGAACTGGAAACACTGTGTTCCTTCTGTCCATCCGCTGGTCAAGACTTGACGCAATCTTCAACACGCAATCGTCTGGCTCCTGGGGGTCTGAACTTGGGCCATCCGGCTTCATCTTTTCTCCAAACGTGGTGTTCGATGCCCTCGTGCGAATAACAACGACCAAATTCCTGGTAGGTGAACTGTTCTTTATGACTACAAGTAAACAGGCTATAAAACAAGTTACCAAACAAATTAGAACGGTTTCTCTTCATGACTACAAGTAAACAGGCTCTAAAACAAGTTACTATACAAATTAGAACGGTTTCTCGTCATATAACGGTATCTTCGTCTGATTACCATGAAGCTGAAGTAAGTTAGCAAGTACAAACTGACAAAACTAAAAGTGCAGTGGCAGAGAGGTTAAAGCGTTTGCTCTTCATGCCGAAGGCCAGAGTTCGATTCCCCACTTTGGTACAATGTGTGAAGCCCATTTCTGGTGTCCCAGCCGTGCTACTGCTGGGGGTAAAAGTAAAAGCGGCGTATAACCCAACTCACTCACTCACATGTACCTAGGTTAACTGGTATCATCTTGGTAAATTGAATTACTAAATGAATTCCACATTTGATCTGTATGACTGCTTGTATGGATTCCAAATGTTACATCGAAGATCATGAATCAAATTGCTGACAAATATGTGCAAATATCGTGCATGTGAACAGCTGCGTATTGGTGTAAAGTTTGTAAAGAATTCGCAAATTTTCACTGATTTTGATCATTTATTGAACTCATGACAATACTCTTTTCAACGTTTTACAATACATCAGTTCATCTGCAAACAGTGCCTTTAAATAGTATGGAATAGTTTGCAAAATTTAGTACAGAACAGTATGACCAGAAGGCTGGATATGCTTGATAGAGGAACTGTGGCTGTCTGTAAGGAGACAATTAGAACTGAGCTACATGCAATGGGTTGGCAGAAAAGTCGAGGAATTCTATCACCGATCATGAAACCTGAACAAAAGGAACGAAGGTTGAACTGGTGCTTACAGCATAGAAATTTTAACTGGGACAATGTGATTTTCTCAGATGCAAGTTCTGTGTGGCTGTTTCCTAATACACTGAAATTCTGGACCAAACAAACTGAAAAACCTTTGTATCAGCGCCCTAAGAACAGTCCGAAATTTAACGTGTGGGGTGGCATATCTGTGTTAGGGGCAACGCCCCTCTGTGTATTTGAAGGGAATGTGAACAGTGAGCGGTACACAGATATTCTCGAGGGACATTTACTTCAATCTGCTCATGTGTTCTTTGGAAATGTTTTGATTTTCCATTCAGGACAACGACCCAAAACATCGTTCAAAGCATTCACAGGCCTGGTTTCGGACCCAAAATATGACATTAGTAGATTGGCCAAGCTATAGCCCAGACCTTAATCCAATAGAAAATGTTTGGGGACTTATGAAGGAAAGTGTCAATAAGAAAAATCTGACAAATTTTGCTGAAATGAAAGAAGAGGTGGTCCGATATTGGGACAGCATGGACCACGACTTTCTAACTTCATTGATCAGTAGTATGCCCCGCCGCATTGAAGCCTGCATTGTTGCACATGGTGACTTGACAAGATACTAACTGTTCACCTGTCTTTGAATCTGGAGTTATGTTCTGCTAATATTCACATTTGATACGTGAGTAATGAGTGAAAAAAGTAAAAAACATAATACAATCTTTAAATTCTCAATAATTTCTGGTTGAACTGTAAGTGGCTGTCTTTACACTTTTGTGTGTAAACCTTCGAAAGTAAGTGTAAATAAATAAATATCCAGACGATAAACCCCAAATAAGTTGGTATTTTAGATATTCATTCATCAACTATGTTTTACATATTAAAAGTAGTAAGCAGCAGAGAGGGTTCGGGGAATCCTGGCACAGTCAGGCTTTTAAGGCGCATCATCCGTTCAGGGCCCTTGCCTCCTCTCCACGCAGCCCAAACAGCGAATGGGACTTCTCCCATGACATATGTAGACTCCAAAACAATGCAGTCTTCTACATTACCCAGAGTGTCAGAAGGGCTGTGCCCACGGTGGAGAACCCGGGCACACTCCTGATCTGGAGGTACCAAACCAAGGGCACCGAGAACAATGGTGAGCCTGATAACAGTGTGCTTGGGATGCAAGCGAGACATTTCAAAGGCGAGGTCCGCATATTTAACATGCTATTCCTGAATCTTGCCAATCACGTTGCTGTCCAAAGGGACAGAAATTTCAATGATATCAATAAACTCATTGGCTTTATCAAAAAGGACAAATCAGGTTTGTTCGCTGGAATTTGTCTTCGGCTGTATATGGTACTCGGCCCGAAGTTTTACTGATTAAGTTGAAAATGCAGCAGAGAGGGTTCGGGTGATCCTGGCACAGTCAGGCTGGTAAGGCCCGAAGTTTTAATATTATTATCATTATTATTATCAATTTCAGATTTTCATCAATGGCAGCGACTTCTATGAAGCCCCAATACGGATTCCTGTACAGACGGCCACCAAGCTTCAGGTCAGATGCAGTCGCCTTGACTCAGTTGGAGTGATGTACCCATGAAATACTTTCTTTTCTTGTATATTTTTTACCAGTGCAGTAACCCGACTGGTCAATCTGTCCTTCAAATAAGAAAGATCTGAACTTGATACATTCGAACCACATGTGTCCAGCTGCCGTGTCTCAAAAGTTAATATGTGGCCCCTTGTGTTGCTTGGTTTGTTGTTTAACGCCACATTCAGAAATATTCCAGCTTTATGGGACGGTCTGTAAATAAACGAGACTAGATCAGACAATTCAGTGATCAGCAGCATGAGCATCGATGTACGCAACTTGGATACGATGACATGTGTCAAGCAAGTCAGCGAGCCTATTCGTCCGATCCCGTTAGTCGCCTCTTACGACAAACTTGGGTTACTGAAGTTCAATTCTAACCCAGATCTTTCCTGGTATCTCGAACTAATGAATAATGCTATGCGCATTAACCTATGTTATCACGGTATGATGACTGTTATTTCTCGATTTCCCCATTGAAAAGTTTGACCAGAAAGTTATGTTGAAAAGAATTCATGGCGAAACCAACAAACAAGAAAGACATGGTATACAAATGAACAGCTGGATTAATTTAGTTTCTTGGTTTCAGAAAAGCAGAGCTACTTTCTTATTCGCGTGTTTTAATCGTAGATTATATTGTTCTTTTACTGTTTGCCGTATTTGGTGTACAATCGCCACCGGCTGAAGGGATGGTGTAAATACAGGTAGGGTCCATACAGGTAGCAAAAGTACTGTGGGTCCCCATGGTCCCTAGTATGGTGACCTACCTTGAGTTGCTGGCAATATGTAGCCATTTTTTCATACTGTAGTGATTAAAATAAAAATCAAATTTTAGAGTTTCAAATTCTTTTCTGTGATATTCTTATTGTTTTTAATGTCCTTTTTCGACAAGTTTTTATAGTTTAACTGTATGTATCATGAATTCAAGTCACGATATAGCTGCATACTTATATGACTGTAAATCTCACCTCAATAACTTAGTGAGTGAGTGAGTGAGTTTTACGCCGCAATCAGCAATATTCCAGCTATATGGTGGCGGTCTGGTCCAAACAATCCAGTGATCAACAGCATGAGCATCGATCTGCGCAATTGGGAACTAATGACATGTGTCAACCAAGTCAGCGAGCCTGACCACTCGATCCCGTTAGTAGCCTCTTACGACAATCATAGTCGCCTTTTGTGGCAAGCATGGATTGCTGAAGACCTATGTTACCCTGGATCTTCACGGGTCTCAATAACTCAGTATTCATCTGACTTTAACATTCAATGAAGTATTTCTGAAGTTTGCAATGGTCTGTCAAAGAAATAAACCCCTAGCTTGTATAGAGATGGAGTTGAACGAGACAAAATGTATATGCGCATTTAATTTAATTCTCCTTATCACCGTGACAAGGCATTTTCCTGCTACCATAACGCCAACATTTGTCAAACACGGCTACGCGAACAGTGCAAATAGTAGATGAATTTACGCAGATGAAAAGCATTTCAGTGAAAATGGAAAATATAACACGAAAGATCATTACTGACTGATTTCACATTGACACCACTCACAAAATTTTTCATCTGTGAAGATCCGAGTTGCTGTTATGCAATCCATGCTTGTTACAGGAAACCTTTGTTAACCCATGCCTGTTATAGGAAGCCTTTGTTAACCCATGCTTGTTATAGAAAGCCTTTGTTAACCAATGCCTGTTATAAGAAGCCTTTGTTAACCGATGCTTGTTATAGGAAGCCTTTGTTAACCCATACTTGTTATAGGAAGCCTTTGTTAACCCATGCTTGTTATAGGAAGCCTTTGTTAACCCATGCTTGTTATAGGAAGCCTTTGTTAACCTATACTTGTTATAGGAAGCCTTTGTTAACCCATGCTTGTTATAGAAAGCCTTTGTTAACCTATGCCTGTTATAGGAAGCCTTTGTTAACCTTTGCTTGTTATAGGAAGCCTTTGTTAACCCATACTTGTTATAGGAAGCCTTTGTTAACCCATGCTTGTTATAGGAAGCCTTTGTTAACCCATGCCTGTTAAAGGAAGCCTTTGTTAACCGATGCTTGTCGTAAGATGCGACTAACACGTGGTAAGGCCGGTTGATTTGGTTTTATGTCGTTGTGTCTCAGTTTCGTAGATCAAAGCTCTTGATGTCAACCACTGAATTCTGTGGTGTAAATTCGTATATTACAAGACCCCGGTAAAATCACGAATGTCTGAGTGTGATAAACAACAAACAATCAGTTCTGTTCATGCAAGAACCCACCATACTGTTACTACTTCTTGAGATGACATTGAGATGATCTTTACTTCCATTTTGGAATTTCTGGTAACACGGTGGTTGATGCTGCTGCAAAAGCAGGACTCAACAAATCTGTCACTTCTCATCAGTTACACAGGCTGTAAACCAGTCATGAGATGTTACACTAGAGATCGAATATAAAGAAGAGGGTGGTTATCTTTAGTCTGTTTATATATTGTATTGGCTTCAAATTAATTTTAGGCGGTGGGGTAGCCTGGTGGTTAAAGCGTCCGCTCGTCACGCCGAAGACCAGGGTTCGAATCCCCACATGGGCACAATGTGTGAAGCACATTTCTGGTGTCCCCCGCCTCGATATTGCTAGAATATTGCTAAAAGCTGCTTAAAACCATACTCACTCACTCAAACTAATTTTAGATGTTTAGTTTTACATCTATACTTGTGATATTCTTGTTGTTTTAACTGTCTTTAGTTAAAAGGTTTCTGTCACGATATGGCTGCGATATTGCCGATGTGACGTTAGATAATAACTCACTCACTCACTAAAAGGTTTCTTATCATCTAAGTTGTGTGATATAGTTGTGTGACTATATGGCTGAAATACTACCGCTGTGACGACTATAGTTGTTAGCTCACTCACTCCCACAGATGTTGAAGATATATTTATAATGATTTGATATTTTACAGTTAAATGTAACGTGTGGAAACAAAAGGTTAATCCAACATCCGTACGTAAACCGACAAACATAAAGGTTGGTGGTATGATTAACAAATGTATTCTAATGATAACCATTAATACTTGTAGTTGATGGTTCAAAATAGAGTGACACAACAATTGCTGGTGTCCACGTCGTGATATTGCTGGAATACTGCTAAAAGCGGCGCAAAACCATACCAAAATCAATCGTGGCCAAGGTCATTACATACATCTTGCATACTATTAACTCATCAAAGAGCCTCATCATCAATGATGCCTCATTTATGTATACTACGGCTTCACTTGTTAACGCTTTTATGAAAGACCATGTGTTGTTATTGTGTATTGGCTTCCTAATCACATATTGTATTGTACAAACATCTCTAACTTGTATATATGCGTTTCTTTCATGCTGTTCATCACTTGATTGATAACGGTAAACAAACAGTTGTTCATCCATATATGGTTATCCTTCCCTAACTTACTGCTTAGTCAATTATGTCAGTTATATTGTTGTCATTGTTACATTTAGTATATATACATCTCCCCCTCTTCATGTATCATTCCTGCTTGACAACGGAACCAGAATCTGTATCGAAATGTCGCACGAGTTCACATAATAAATAAGCTGTTATCCATAAAGTTTGTTCTATATTCTACATTGATTGGAGGTTATATCCATTTCTCGCCACGATAAACTCGTGTTACAACGGTGCCACTTTGGCCATTGACATTATACACATTCATCCTTTGCAACCGTCAAATATGACATTATACACATTCATTTATTGAAAAGGGAAGATGCATCTATTTCCATCCTTTGCAATCGTCAAATATGGCATTATACAGTCATTCATTTAGTGAAAAGATGCATATGTTTCCATCCTTTGCAATCGTCAAATATGACATTATACAAATTCATTTAGTCAAAAGGGAAGATGTATCTAGTTCCATCCTTTGCAATTGTCAACTATGACATTATGCACATTCATTTTAGTGAAAGGGGAAGATGCATCTATTTCCATCCCTCGCAATCGTCAAATATGACATTATACAAATTCATTTAGTCAAAAGGAAGATGTATCTGTTTCCATCCTTTGCAATTGTCAAATATAACATTATGCACATTCATTTTAGTCAAAGGGGAAGATGCATCTATTTCCATCCCTCGCAATCGTCAAACATGACATTATACACATTTATTTAGTGAAAAGGTAAGATGCATGTATTCCCATCCTCTTGAAATGGTCAAATATGATATTATGCACATTCAGTTTCGTGAAGGGAAGATGCATCTATTTCCATCCTTGGCAATTGTCAAATGTGACTTTATACTCATTCGTTTAGTGAAAGGGGAAGATGCATATGTGTCCATCTTTGCAATCGTCAAATATGACATTATACACATTCATTTAGTGAAAGGGGAAGAAGCATATATTTCCATCCCTTACAATCATCAAACATGACATTTAAGCGCAAAGAGTCCTTTGCGGAGATTTGCGCTATATAAATGCTATCCATTATTATTATTATACACAATCATTTTAGTGAAAGGGGAAGATGCATCTAGTTCCATCCCTTGCAATCATCAAATATGCCATTCTACTCATTCATTTCAGTGTAAGGGGAAAATGCTTCTGTTTCCATCCTTTGCAACTGCTAACTGCTGCTACATGTTGCATGAATGTTTTGATTGTGCGCTTATCTAACAAGGTTTAAGAAATCTTATATGAAATTTTTAAAACAATTCATGACCACTTGATTGTTGCATGCTTAAGTGAAATCAAACTGTTAGACAAAGTTTTAAACCTTTGAATTGATATTTGACTCAGATTTTAGTGATTTTCAACATCAGGTGTATTCTGCTTCATATGGAGTAAAACAAACGACATTTCTTACCGCGTATAGCTGCAAACGTGCTGATGCTGCGTGCTACACTCACTCATTCACTGACTGTTCCAGCTTTGTTGTGCAATGCTATTATTATTCCAATAACAAATCATATCCGAAATCACAACGAGCCATCACATTAGGAACATAAATTTCTTGGAATCTTTAAGATAAATTCAATCGTG